GCAGGAATAGGCCTTGGGTTACTGCTGGTAATCCTGTCTTCCTCTTGTGGGATTAGAGGAGGTCAGAACATGTGGCCTCCTTGCCCTTTTTGCAGTGTCACTAACCTTATTTTAAGTAAGATGAATGTTTTCTAGGAGTTATCACTGAGGACCATTATAGTGCTATAATGAAGAATCTAACTCTTCAGGTAAAGGCAACTTCCAGTCCAATTCTTTGGTTTCTTTGGAATTTGATTGCACTTATTTCCTTTGAATTAATATCATCACTGTGACTCTGCCTGCTGAAACTTGTAGCGTTGACTTTTCCTTCAGCAGTAGTGACATCATTTTTGCCTAACAGCTCACCAGCCCCTTGGCTGCTTACCTTCCCTAGGTCTGGCTACAAAATAGACTGTTCAGACAATATTTTATTCACAAGGCATATGGTTAAATCAAAACAGAAAGGAATAAGGAGGGAATGTAATTAAGGGAAGGGTGAAAGTGGAAAGGCAGATGATCTATTGCAAAATGATCATCTCCTATCCGTGTCATAGTACAGTTACAAAGATTCCAGTGAAAGAATCAGGGCTTATTTAAACATTACCTTCTTTGTGTTAGTGGCTTTGGACACCAGCCAATCCCCTGATTATCTTGGTAATGTAGTTGAGACAGAGTTTCGTCAGGCTTGTAAAATTTCAAGAAAATTTATTCACCTCATAATACCCTTTAATATCATGAGAACAGGGTACATTTTCATAAAGATGTGTACACATTATAAAATCTTTTCAAAGTCTTGTCCATTTTAACCTTACTTCACTCTCTCAACTTCTGTAACAATACCAATCCATGACCTATAAGTACTGTGTTTTCAAATGTGGCTGTCATTCTGTCATTTCACATTGATGATGTTTGTCTTCAGGGATTTTGTTCTGTGATCTTATCTTATTCTTATGAGATCTTAGTGGGGTTTTTGTTTTGTTTTGGTTTTGACATATAATACTTAGCTTTTAATGCTGGAAAATTTCCCCAGATGGTTATGTGTTTCATTTAAGATATATGTTTCCAAGATTTGGAAAGGGGAGCTTGTGTATCTAAATAATACTGTTTTTTTACAAAGTGGCAGGGGAGTCTAGATCCCTCTGGGAAAGTTTTTCAGAACTAAAAACTGGGTATTATTCAGAATCTGTTATTGTTAGAGAGCACGAGTCATAAATAGAATCATGTATGATAGATTTTAGGAAAATTTTAAAGGAAGAAAAAGAGAAGCAGAATACCAACCAAGGCAGATTTAAAACTCCTGATCTGCAGATTTCAGATTTCTTCTCATTTAGCTAAATTCCAAATATATCTTACCCCAATTCCATTAAAGAGTTTTAATTTTATTCAAGTCTCCCAATAATACAGAAAGCAGTATCTCTTTCACAAATCTTTATAATCGTGTTGGGTAATTTTCTTTGTTTCACTGTTATTCTGTATTTAGACTTACAAATATTAATTTTGCAGTTCCCCTTCCCTCACCTCCTCTCTCCTCTCTCTTCCTCTCCTTCCCTTTTCTTCCCTTCTCTTTCCTTCCCTCTCCTTCCTTTTCCTTCCCTCTCCTGCTCTCCTTGAAAAATTCAGTCATAAAGCATTTGATGGCAGAAAACAAGGTAGGCTTCCACGTTAGGGGAAGAGGGGTAATAGCCATGATGGCCCAGAGAAAGCGGTTAGAGCTCAACCACTGTGAGGAAGGTGTCCATATGTCATCACGGGTGTCATTTCAAGAGGATAAGAAAGGTATCAATATGTATGGGGTAGGGAGAGGTAGGCTACAGGCTGGTATGGGAACTCAAAGGCCAGGTGGGGAAGAGGAAGCTGTTCATGCATCATGAGCAGTCTGGCATGTGGTGTCAGAGCCTAAGCAGGATGAGAAAGTCATCCACATAAGGAAGAGGATGTCAGCAGAGATAAAAGATTGGTTACATAAAGGGATTTATCAAATAAATAAACATATTACAAATAATACAGCTAGATTTTTCACTATTGGAGGTAGTAATTTTAATATTGAAAGAGGAAAATAGAGTATTTGGAATTGGAATTACAGGTATTAGTGTAAACTCATTTTAAATGTTTGAAAGATAGAAAGTAAATAGATAAATTAGATAGATAGACAGACAGATGTGTGCATGTAATGTAGATCTTTCCACTGGGAGCAGCAGCACCCAATGGTAACAAGCTCACCTGGCACCCAGATCCTCTAAAGACTACTTTCCACTAAAAGTAATTTGAACTCATTGAAAAAATCCCTGATTCCAGGACTGAGACAGAACAACTACAAGATGAGCCTTGGAACATCTAGTTCTTGCCAAAAGCAAGGAGTTACTCAAAGAATGTAGATCCAAATGTGGGATATATTGTGCATGAAAATAAATAGGAATAACCAGATTATAACCCATTGAATAAAAATGTTGTTTTTATTTTTGTTGAGTGCTGTCAAGTCAATTTTGATTCATACTGACTCTAGAGAAGCAAAACTAGTGAAAGAGAAAGAGAGAAAAATTTATGTCAAGGAAATGGCTCATGCAATTGTAGAGGTTGACAAGTCCCAAGTCCATGGGTCAGACATCAAGCTGAAGGCTTCTTCTGACACATACTTGCGGGGGCTGATCAGCAGGCAATACAGCAAACTGCTGATTTTGGAGGCTGACAAATCTAAGGTCGGCAGGTAAAATGGCAGATTATTTATTGTCTCATAGGCTGGGAAGGCAGCAGTCCCAAGATGAGCAGGCAGCACAGCAGGCCACTGGTTCACATTCCGATTATGATTACCCAGATGCAGGGTCTCAAATGAAAAGCCAGAGATCTTTGCCAGGGTGTGCATTATGCTGGAAGCAGGCCACAACCCTGAGGAAACTCGTTTTAAACTGATTGGCTGCTCACAGCAGCTCTCATCATGAAAGTGTTTCCTTATATCAGATCTGCATCATAACTGCAAAACCACTGAGAATCATGGCCCGGTCAAGTTGATGTACAATCTTAACTATCACAGTGACCTTATAGGACACAGCCCCATATGGTTTCCAAGGCTGTAAATCTTTATGGAAGCAGACTGCCTCATCTTTCTCCTACAGAATGGCTGGTAGGTTAGAACTGCTGACCTTTTGGTTAGCAGTAACAAACAAACCAAAAAAAAAAAAAAAAAAACGCAACACACTGCCATCGAGTCGGATCCGACTCATAGCAACCCCTCCTTGGGTTTCTGAGGTGGTATCACAATGGAAGTAGATTGCCCAACCTTTCTTCAGAGGAGTGGCTGGTGGGTTTGAACCACCAGCCTTCTGGTTAGCAGTCAAATGCCTTAGGTACTATGCCACCACCATAAATCCATACCAGTATAAATAAACAAATACATTGAAAGTTTGATGAAGAATAGAATATTTACGTAACTTAAAAATAACTCTGCCTACAAAATAGTTGTTAATTGTAAGGAGGGAAAAAGTAGCCTTTCAGTGGAAAACTCTGGTAAACATCACCTTAATCAATTTATCAAAGCCCTCATAGTCTGTGACAGGTCAAATTAAAATTGTACACCAGCAGATGGAATGTAACAAGAAGAACACAACACCACTTCTGTGATATTCTGGCACCCAAAACTATATAACCTAAATCTAATTATGAGAAAATATCAGACATATTAATTAAAGAAAAGTCTACATTCATAACAACTAGACTGAAGTCTCTGAAAGTGTCAATGTCATAAAAGCCAGGGGAAGACTGAAGAATTTTTGCAAACTGAAGGGAACTAAAGAGACATGACACTTAAATACAATGTGTGAGTTGGAACTAGATCATTTTGCTAGATATGTAGAAAGAGTATTATTGGCTCAATTGATATTTGAAGCTTAGAAGAGTAATGAAATTTGAATAGAGTCTGAGGATTATGTAAGAATAATACGTCAATGACCACTTCCTAATTCTGTTAATTATATTGTAGGTATTTAGGGGAATGGTTTTATTTTTAGGAAATATATAAGTGTTCAGAAATGATGAGACATCAAATAAAAACAAAATAATCGTAAATGAATGATTGAGGAAAATAAATTACAAATCATTGTGATTGTGATTGTTTGAAAATTAAAAAAAAATTTATAAACATAATGCTGTGAATAAAAATCTCAATTCATTGGGTTTGAATTCTTATCATTTAAATTCATTGAAAGTGATTTAAGCTGTATTTCTCTACTTCACATTTTTGCAGGATTCTTGGCCAAGGGAAGTCCATTTGGATTATGATCCTAAATGGGAACATGCTCTGAAAAATATAAAAGAAGATAGCTCGTTTATTTCAATTTATACACATTTATGGGGAAATGTCCCTCGAATATTTGAAGCAGTTACGAGCATGGAGTTAAGATTAGAAGAATGTTCATCTCTTTTGAAAAACCATGCCTCCAAGTTACTTGAGTGGGACAACATGATTTCTAAAACAGGTAAACCTTATTTCATTAGGATTAAAATATGTGTGTGTGTTGACAAATACACACACGTGTGTATGTATAAGTGTATTAGAGTGAAATTCTAAGTGTGAAATAAACATAAAAATTTATTTCATTCTACAACCTTTTTGTTCAAAATGGTCTGATACAGATATTTAATTGAACATGAACATACAGATTCAAAAAAGTATTAGTAGAACAAAGTCTACAGTGATGAACTTTGTTCAGCAGGAGCTGGGTGTAGCAGAATATTGGAAAGAAACAAAAACAGTTGCAGCAACTGATATTGGTACTAGAGACAAGCAAATCAGGAAAGGTCATGATAGATAGATTATAGATAGATGGATGGATATATAGGTACCATTGACCCCAATTCATGATGACCTTATGTACAACAGGATGAAACACTGCCTGGTCCTGTGTTATACTCGATATTGCAAACATGTCAAGTCCATTGTCACAGCTGTTGTGCCAGTTCATCTTATGGAGGGTTTCCCTCACCCTTTAGTAGTGGCTACTTCACAAAACATAATCTCCTTCTCTAGCAATTGATCCCTCCTGATGACATGTCCAGAGCAAGCAAGTCAAACTGTGTTCTGTTGTGATCTATAAGGTTTTCATTGGCTAATATTTGGAAGATCACCAGGTCTTTCTTCCTAGTCTATCTTAGAACCTCTTCACCATGGGTGACTCTGCTGGTATTTGAAATAGTGGTAGCATAGTTTGCAGTATCACTGCAACATGCAAGCCATCATAGTACAACAAATTGATACACAGATTGTAGAAGATCATGATAGAAAAGCGAACCAAATGAAATCAGTTGCCATCAAGTCAATTCTGACTCATGGTAACCCCATATATTTCAGAGTAGAACTATGCCTCATGAGGTTTTAAATGGTTGTGATCTTTCAGAATTGATCTTTCACCATATTTTTCTCCCAAGTGCCTGTGAGTAAATTCAAACTGGCAATCTTTTAATTAGTAGCCAAGCACTTGACCATTTGTGCCACCCAGAGACTCTAATAGAACAATAATAACTAAAATCCAGAGAAAAAGAGATGGGAGTTGGCCTCTCTGGGCTAGGTTACCTTAGAAGGGGTAAAGGGGGTCATTTAAAGTTCTAGGAATGCAGTTCCAGGAAAGAAATTTCAAGAAACCTGCCTATAACTCCAAATACAGTTTCAAGTATATTGTTGCTAATGTGTTTGTTTATTTACTTGTTTTTCCTTTGACTTGTTTATATTTTAATGCCTGTAAGAGCTACCTCTGTTCTGAATAAACTTTTTTTGAACAATGAGGTAATTTAACTGTTTAAAGTAAATTTGGTTCTCCTGGAAATGAGGACTTGTTCTTTCTCACCAGGAGCTCACTTCTGAGCATAAGGAGACATCCTCCAATTCCTTTGTAGATTAGAGATTCAACTAGAGATAGACCATGGAACAGAATTGAAAACTCAGAAATAGACCCTTCCATCTATGGACAGCTGATCTGTGACAAAAGACTAAAACCCATTAATGGGGGAGAGACAGCATCTTTAACAAATGGTGCTGGCAAAATTGTATATCTACTTGCAGAAAAATGAAACAAGACCCATACCTCACCCCATCTACAAAAACAAACTCAAGTGGGATCAAAGACTTAAATGTAAAACCCAAAACTATAAAGCTCATCAAAGATGAAATAGGGGCAAATCTCGGGGCCCTCATCTATGGCATAAATCAAGCACAACCCAAAATACATAGGCAGTGGAAGAGAAGCTAGATGACAGGGACCTTTTAAAAATTAAATTCTTACGTGCATGGAAAGACTTCTCCAAAAGGGTAAAAAATGAACCTACAGATTGGGAAAAATTATTTGGCTATGACATATTTGACAAGGGACTTATCTCCAAAATTTATAAAAAAAACTTCAGTACCTCAACACCAAAAAGACAACAGTCCAGTTCAAAAATGGGCAAAAGACATGAACAGATACTTCACTAACGAAGTTGTCCAACAAACACATGAGGAAATACTCATGATCATTAGCCATTGTTGTTGTTGTTGTTGTTACGTGCCATGGAGTCAGACCCAACTCGTAACAACCCCTCCTTGGGTTTCCAAGGCTGTATCATTACGGAAGTAGATTGCCCAACCCTCCTGAGAAGGAAGGTACTTGACTGCTAACCAGAAGGCTGGCAGTTCAAACCCACCAGCCACTTCTCAGAAGGAAGGTTGGGTAATCTACTTCCATAGTGACACCACCTCAGAAATCCAAGGAGGGGTTGCTATGAGTCAGGTCCATCTTCACAGCACATAACAACATTACCCATTGTTGTTGTTGTTGTTATGTGC